AGAAATAATACATGTATACTGTACAATAAAGTAACATAGCGAAAGGGCCCCAACATGTGTACCAGCTACTTATCATGTTTATCTAACTCTAGGAGATGTCTAGGAGATGTTCTGAGTCATACTGTAAACATTCTCATAAGGTTAATGTTGATCTTTATTTTGGTCGTCGTCGAGACGATTCAAACTATAAATAAAACCACAAAGAATGTTATTAAGTAATAAAGAAGTATGTCGAGGCGATATTAACACATGTACCGAGAAAATACATAAATACTTAAGTCTCGTTCGTGTGAAAAAATCGCCTGAGCACCGTTTGAAGTATCTTGTTTTACGCCACTTCTACTTTAAATGTCTCCTACCTCACTGGTTGTCTCGGATAGCAACGTACCCTATATGTGCTCAAGAAAGATATATCCTTGTTTCGAAGCAATTGTAAATATTTTGATATCACTTAAAATCATTCATGTGACTTTCGATTCTGTTCTCGGTATGATAAATGTCATGTTATAAATGTGCCTTTTTCACTCGGGAGCGACGTATAGGTGATTTATTTTATGAGTGGAAGAGGAATTACGACTCTTTCCCCCCTGACGCTATAAACACATATACAGACGTATTAAACGTGTAGTACAGATACTTGATACTAACCAAGTCATAATTCAAACACTTAAAACATTCATATTTAAATATCAGCAACATGCGAAACTTGTAAAAATATACTTGTTAACAATTAACTTTATGTTCATAATAAATCCTTTAGTTTGTTTAAATAAACAATGTATTAGGAAATAATAAACTTGCAAAAACACATTAGTGGTTAATGTACCATTTTAAATATAATTAATCATTTAACTTGTATAAATATAAAATATGCTAGTAAATAAAATATACATTGTAAAACACACGTGTAAATATATTTATGACAGTAAAATATAACATTCGGTTTGTCCTTTATTTGTAATACGAACATGGTCCCATTACAATAGTCAAATCAATTTTATGAATTATACCACGAGGTTAAAGGTGGATTTGTTTTCTTCGCGACTAGAATCAACTTTACAATACTTCTAGACTAAGAAAATAAGGATTTTTTTGTTTTATTTTTGCACCATCTTTTCTTTATATAAAGATAAATATTAAAAAATCAAAAACACTACAATTGTTTGTGTAATATATTAATGGATAGAGATGTTACCGAAGGAACTTGTTCTAATTCGTTAGTATAGATACATATTTATTGTTCTAACCTAGTAAAGTTGGATTTAAAAAAATAAATAAATCTGAGTTATTGTATGTACATTAACAGCTTTCCCTCCGAGAAATCCAAAACAATATCTACTCTCTTACATGCTGTGATACATGTATGGATGGGTGACCTCTGGCTTTGTATTCTGTCATGTTTGTTTTACTTGCCGTTATTTTTAATTTGCACTGATCAAACTGCTTTTATTATACCTAAGTGCTTTAAAGTTTGCTAAATGAGCTGTTTTATTTTATTAATTGAGGAAGCTGCTTTAGCCCGTGTACTAATTGAAACGATGTTTTGATTTATACCAATTGGCCTGATTTAAATTGTATTAATTGGACTGCTACAACTAGTACTGATGGAACTGTTCGTACTGATTAAGATGCTTTAACGTCAATGAACTTAATTGCATTCTGGTCCGTGTACAGTCTTTACTTTTTAAATTTATTTTTAAATTTTACTATTAAAATAGTTCAATTTTCAAAATTAGCAATATCAATTTGTGCAGTTTATTTTAGTGTCGAATAAAAGCCATAACACACAAAATGTGTTAACTAAATAAAACAAACAAATTGTATTCGTTAAATACCATAAATTATACGACGACCAAGTCAAGCCAACTCCAGATTGATTTCCCCAAAATAACCAAACATAACTCGTTCATGAGTAAAAGTATAACAAAAACATTTATCATTTCAAATCAGAGAAATTATATCCTTGACCTGGTACTCGGTAGAAATATTACACCAGAGATCTGTACCACTAATCTACCTCTCTATACCACAGGCAGGGCCATTGTTTGTAAGGACCAGAGTCCCACTGACCATGGAATTCAATAAAGGGTGCAGTGGCCATATAAAGCGTTTAATCGGCGTTACTTTTTAGCTAAACAGATTAACTGGATACTTGGTATACCTACAAGTACCGTGGAATTAATTTTACCTAATCTAATTTTGGCATTTTGCTTTTCACAGCTTGATAAGAAACAGGTGTAATCATACACCTTACGATATAGTATATAATGTAAAGTCTCTGCAGCAAATAGTCGTGATCAAATGTGAAGTTCATATTTAGCTTTTGTCTGACATATACACTTATCTAATTTTGGCATTTTGCTTTCCACAGCTTGATTAGAAACAGGTGTAATCATACACCATACGATATAGTATATAACATATACACTTATCTAATTTCCAAATACAAAAGGACGAAGTGATCCTTGGTAGTATCGGGTTTCGCCAATAAGGTCTCTGGAGTAGGGAGATCATCTGCATCTAATACGTTTTACGGTACTTTGTGAAAAGTATATATCGTTTTCGATATTACAGTGTTCCGAATATTTGCTTTAAATGTTTATACCCAAATTATAGGACAATAGTAAAAAATAAAACCTCTCATTTTGTATGCAACCTTATACAACGCACAAATTAGTATACGATCTGTTCAAAAATACCACTCTCCAGTGGCCGACTCAAAAACTGTATTGCTCTTTCACGTAAGAGAAATGATAACTTACGGGTTTTGAAAACGTCAAAAACCTATCCAAAATTGTATCCTTAAATATCTAAGATACTCCACATTTAGTACGACAATTCCTCATGTTACACATAATGTGGACTGCATTCACGTTCGAATTTTATATATACTGGAACCACTCCTTTCTGTATAAAACTCGCGAACTGCGATACCCTCTTGTCATTAGGAATATAAACAAACATACGACACATTCGGTTAACGACATGTTTGTTTTGTTGAATTAGGAAGATGTATATTTTACAGACTATGAGCACTATCAATCTCTTCATGCTGACCTGTTTTTCGTTTTCTTATAAATGTGAATTTATAAAAGGGCAATTGCAAAATGAGACAAATTCTTGCCCTTTTTCTTAATTTACATTCAGATTACTGGTATTTTATTTTGTCTTATAACACAAGAATGTATTTATTAGAGTTAATTGTTTCCTGCAGGACTTCTATTGGATGTTGTGGCTGTGTTATTTGTTTTTAGTTTACTTTAAAATAGTAAGTAATATCTCTTTCATATCTGTAATCAATTCAAGTGTTGGCGAGTAAGCTCACATTTCCCGTAATGTAAGTGGATTACAGAGGTCAATAGAATAAAGGTTTTAAAAGAAGTCTAATATTTTACTGATAAGGTCAGTGGTACAATATAAAAAGTAGGGGTTACGGAAGACAGCCGACTGGGGTCTACATTGTTATCGCCTTTACAGAATGAACAATCTCAAATACATCATATTCAGTTTCTGGCGAGTCAACATACTCATAGACAGATGGAATAGAAGGGTAGAAAATGGTAGACCAAGACTTAAGGAGGATCGTTCTCAAACAGGCGGCATTATTTTCTAACAAATGTTCTCTGGCTTCAAGTTTTAAAACTATATAAAAACATCTATAATAGAGAAATGTTATTTTCACGATTCCTTAATATTTCAGAAACACGTAGAATAAGACGTTGTTTGGATGAACTCTCTAGGAGGCGTTGACTGTACGGTATATAATGGGTCTTGCCCGCGCTACTTTACCGTAACGTGTTGACTTGGTTCTAAAATATACATCAATCACACCACTAATGTGTTAAAATAATTGTGGTTTAAGATATTGCCTGCAAATATTAACATAATGGATCAGGCGTGCGGCTTAGAGTCAACATTTTGAACGGGTTTGCCTTTCCGACAATCGCAGAGTTTGTTTACTAACATATGGGACATAATGTCAGCGACACCCTAAATAGTTAAAACCAAATCAAATGGACATTGCATTTTAAGATGAAAGACTTGAGAAAGCATTATCCCGTTTGAGAACAAATACACATTCACTTTCTTTGTTACATACTATATCAAAAATATTCAGTTTTTACTAAATATTTGTTTCAAAAATGTTTAATGCCACAAATCTAAAATTGAGTTTTTTTATATTACATATTTGGTCAGCAATCATCTTAAAAGCTTGTATATGAAGAGAATATCTCTATCGATGAACATTCCTAAAGCCTAACGTTACAGCGTCCAGGATGTGCCACGGTTCAGGCCGAGGTTGCAAGTTAATCGTGGTCATTATGCCCTGGTTACCATCAGAAGAAATGCCATGATTTCACTTTTGGTTTAGGATAACTACAGATTATGTAAGATTGATCTGTACTTCAGTACATTTTAGTAAGGTTTCTACAAATATCACAGTTTTTCAAAACCTGGAAAAAGTGTAAAATAAAACCTAAACACATCCTTGGATATCCGGGTCAAAACAAACAAATTTCGGATCATCCCGTACATAAAAAGTGACCAAATATAGTGCAATGTAACTTAACGTAAGTTCGTGAACGAACGGGGAAGACGTTCGCCCAACATTGATAGATCCTTAGCTCAACCCAAAATCCTAAAACAACTCCACAAGAGTAAGTTCCGTATGATTAAGGCAACCAGCGTTCTGAAAGTGGCTGTAGGAACACCAGATACAGTTAAAAGTTTCGTTGAAGAGTGTTACGGATTGCATAAAAAATCGTGGCTACACGAAAGTTGAACACAAAATTTTCAAACAGTTTGAAATTTCCTTGTGCACTCCTCGGTTGATGGAGGATGCCCGTTATTGTTTCAACATGGCCATTCGTAAGGCTGATGCTTAACGTTTGGTCCAAGGTTAATAAGACTTAACTCGGAAATCATGAACATCCTATATACGGATGTATAGTAAACTGCACATGTCCCGTATTGTACCTATGTAAATTAAATCAACTTACCTTTCCCCATTTTGAGAATATCCAGTCCAGGAAGTTCTGCACGCCACCGAAGCACTTCTGTATGCGTTCCTTTTCGGACATGAATCCCTTACATATGAGACAAGAGTCTTCATGACAAGGTTCAATGGAGCACCCGGGCGTTTGCGGCCTGGAACGACCTCGCCGCCAAGAGTCTAAGAACTTATTTCTCTTGGTTTTTTCGCGGTTATTGTCCGCGATGGAGGTAGTTTCGCCGTAACTGTCCAGATGTTCCGGTAGATCGCTGTCTATCGATGGCAAGAAAGAGGAAATAGACATTGATAACAGATCTTCCTCCCGGGACGGTGGCGATGCGAGTTTTACGTCCTCGTCCTCAGAATAAACGTCTAAATCTTCCGTTGATTTGTACACTGTCGACTGGCTCATGCTCAAATCGTCAAATGTGACACCTCTCCTGAGGGACCCAATGCCACTGTCTAGATCACTCCTTGATGATGGTCGTGAGCATCTGCTCTTACTTCGGAACGACAGTCGAGACGTGTTGTTTCGCACGCGCATGAAGTCCGCATCGGGGTGTAACGTTGACAGGTGTAAAGAATTGTAATCCTGATCAGGGATTACGCATGCGTCCCCGCGAATTTTCATGAGGTCATAGGTAGTCCTGACCCTGGCCTTGGGGAGGAGCATCATCGGAACTTCATTGATAGTAAGCGACCTCTCCTTCCGTTTATGGTCGATCCTCCTTTTGAGGCGGAGGATATTGAGGCGAGAGTCTTTTGAGGGTGCCCCTTCGACGCGCGGAAGTCTACATGCTATAGACGTTTTTGGCCGCTGTCGATCTGTGACCAATACAGCAGAAATTGCCGCCATCTTGAAACAGTGATTCGTTTGATGTGTTTAATCCGTATATGTCAAAGAACTTAACTCGACCTTTTACGTGGTCCTGGGAGATTCGTTGTATCACAGACCATGTTAAGTATTCACGATTTTTCTTCCTATCATGCTAGGTGTCTTTGTCCTGATATCAGTAGAAGAATCTGATATAAGTTTCATTGGAGATTCTCAAGAACATCCTCGAAATGTGGCACGTCCGAATGGTATATGGTCGTATGAACTTGTTGTCACTGATATCAGGTGGATTGCTGACGTTATGATCCTTTTACTTTCTTCACATTTCAAATATTTCCTTATTAAAAGGAATACTTCACGAATCTTTTTATTTTTGCCTTTTTATCTCCCTGAATCAATAAACACTATACACTCAAATAAACATAACTTCTGTATCGTTTCCATTCCCATCCACTGTTGTCAGTTTGATAACATTTCATAAAGTAAATGCTGTGTTGTAATACATTCAATTTTCAAGAATGATATTTCAAGGATTTTCCATTAAAGACAATATAGTGTAAGCCAACACACCATTAGTTGATCCAGAACTTCTATCATTGACAGGTTTACCTGGTTATCGTTCACTTAATCCATCGAACGTTCATCTGTTCCGATTGAGTTAATTACTGATCTAGATACACACCAGGTAAAAAATGACATGCCTGTGTTCAAAGATTTACACTGTGTACGTAGGAGTGAGCATTCTGGTTTATACAAATAACAGGATTACGACAAAAAACATTAAATCTTTTCTTTGGTGGGCTCAGCCCGGCCGTGATCTCCCGTGGTCCGTATTTGTCTTGGGTGACAACTTTGTTTGAGCAAGGCAGGATATTTCATGGCGAAACAAAAGTGTTGGTTATTGCGTACTGTGGGCTCCCCTTCGTTGGCGCTTAGTAACGTAGCAATACCGGAGAGGGCTTGGTCGCCAAATACCTGGAAGCACGTCCGCATGTCGTCCGGATGGTGATGGAACACCAGTCACCATTTACACGTAGTGTTGTAGAGTATAAATCAGTCTAACTATCCATGTTTGTTTAACTAACTTCCTGTACATTTATAGCTGTGTATTCTTTCCATCATTATCTACCCGGCACACTCCATTAAACACCGGTAAATCCTACTGTTGACGTCCACACGCGAGTTACGGTCACCTGTTTAATTATCCGGGTACGTCCAAGTCCGATCTATCAATTTTAACCCATTAGATGTATTTATTATCTGCAAATTAGAAAACGTGTGTTTGCAGACTTCTCTGGGAAGCTATCACAGGGGGGTGTCACTGTAACGTCCTTTGTCCGATGATAGAGGGCCGAGCAATACTGGTGAAGATCCCAGAAACATCGCCAGGATTGATAAGAGTATTTCCTGTTTGTCTTCCTTCTACAACGAAAAACAAACAAAGTGTTACACAGAGAACACATCGATTGATCTCATAAACGAGTGTTTATGAATCGATGATTTCACGCCCATTCGAACACACACATATATAAGCTAAAAGGCTGCGTTAAGGGACTACGGTAGATACCTGTCATGTTTGATTAATACAAAACATATGAATGAATTACTTCATTTGTCCTGATAACACCAGAACGTTTATATATATAGTGCTGATTACGTTATGCAAACAATTATTGACTAATCAATTAAAACAAGTATCAAGCAGTACCAAACAAGGACCTACATTTGTGACACTGTATCGAGTGAAAGCTCAAGATCAACCTTGTTCATGTTGCTTATTCTTTATCAAACATATTATTAATTATGAATACAATAGTATATACAAATCTGTTATTAGGTATGTGCCTACTATTAATTATGAATCTATAAGTAAATAGAACATATGAACTAAACATCTCTTCAGTTTAGGGACGTTGGAACAAATATCGATCTACAAGTTCGCAGATACCGATCAATGCATTCTCCCTGGAAAAAATGGTTTTAAAATACATGTCCTCCTCTTACTTGAGATGAAGTGACTAAACTCATTCTGCTGTCCAAATGCAAATGTTGGAAATCATTAATGTACGTTTTCCTTGCTGCTGCTGCTCTCTGAACATCTTGTATTAGCCCATTATTACCATTAAGTGACTGAGTAGAGTATCATGTCATGACGTTCCATAGGTACGGCAATATACATTGGCCCCTGACTGATTCTGATATCTGTGGACACAGTCTCCAGAAGACCTTATCTATTGAGTGGTTCCATCATCAGAGGATGCATTCATCATACCACCTTACTTGCTGATCGGTGCAATCATCTGGTCACACCTTTGTCATATTACTTTATCTGTTCAGTGGTGCCGTTAGCGATGTTGAGTGGCCCAGTCACTTGTGGACACCTTTGTCATATGACCTTTTCTATCTCACGCACAAAGACGTTAACTTCCAGACAGTACCAGAACTGGCATTTAGTATTAGGTCAACAGTACACGTCAACGACTTTTGTCTTTTGTCCTTGTTTAAAATAATTATAATGTTATAGGAAACATATTTTTGCAACCGATCATAATTTCTTTTTGATATCCGTCTTCGAAAACACGACAGAAAAGTCAGATATGCGATTGGAGAGAATATATACCGTAGAGAATTGACAGATAATCGAAACGTATTGAGATGCATGAAGAGGGGAACTTAAGGCGCCTACTGTTTGGACTGTAACATGGTACTTAACCTCCAAATATCGCCATCTAATAGAACTATCTCATGTTACACTGTCTCCAGAGAGGTTACAGGTAACACATGTTTGAACCACCGAACTATCACCTGATACACAACCGAAGGAGAGTTGTAGGTATCCCCGGTGGAACTGTTACATGGTACACAACCTAAGGCGAGGCCTAAGTAGCCCATGGTGGAGCTTGAGGACTCCCACAACTAAATAAGCCAATCAGCACATGTTTTTGTTCCGGCTTATTTCAGTGCCTCGCAGTAACTGTTGACATATTTTGTACATTGAATGCAATCTACAGATACTGAACTTTAGAAAAATGTATAGTTCTAGTAGATTATAAAATGTGATGGCGGATTGATACGGGGTCAAATGTCAGGGGGTGATCCCGTCCCACTTGCGTCTGCTTTTGACAAACGGAAGTAGCGTTTGAATGCTTTGTCAGGTATTTATCTGTGAATCTAGACAGTTGTCACTAGTGTTGAATATAAAATATTAACGATATTAGCTCAAAGGCTTAGTTTAACACGGTGCACAACTAAAGGAGAGGTATATGATATTCAGCCTGCAGATTACATTTATTTTTTGGAAAATAGTTCATTAATGACTAAGTTTAGCCCAATGTTCTAGGAGAAGGCTAACAGACTCCATGTAAACATTGACAATTGACATATGTACGACAATCTTTATCCAATACTAAATTGGAATTTTAGCTTGTTGAAAAATGACAGTTACAACTGTCGATATATACATGTATACAAAGTCTTTATATATTTAAATGCATTGACGATTCTAAGAACAGCATAGTTTTAGGCCATACCAAGGTAAACACTCCCGATAGATCCTGGAAGCTTTGTCGCCTCGACAATCAATCACAATGTAAATTGTTTTAGATTTCATTCAGCCAGGCACAAAGCCTTTCATCTCGGTGCAGACCAGTGTTTGTGTACCGAGAAACACTAATACAAATCTATGGTTACGGCTCCATTTGTGGACGGCTCTGTCTGGGACAGACATGGTACGGGATTGTTTACCTATGCCAACGAGTATTGAACGAATGACGTTTGATATGGATATTTTATAGTTTACACCTTATCATCTTCATATCGTACGTGCTAGCAGTATATGTCCGTAATTAAACTACCCGGAATAAAACAAATAACATCATGTGTAGTACTGGAGGCAGGGTATGTAAGTATTTTTACTTCATTGAGATAGCGCGGATCTGCTGATGATTATATAGTGTTACCTCACTGAAATACTATGCCAAGGGCACCAAGCATAGCATTCTATCCGGTCATATAATTCTGACAACGAGTGAACCAGTTGTTGCCATTTCTCTAAATGCTGAAAATTGAACAGGGAATAACAACTACCATATTAAGGAATTGGTATTTCCCGGCATGGGGACAGAACTCGTTGCCGTAACAAGGTTAAACTGTTCCTGCACAAGGAAAAGACCTTACGGAAATGAAGAGAGGATCATTTGGTCACAGTTAAGAACTGGTCCTACTTTTGTACTAAACGAAAAATAAAAATTAATCAATCGATGGTATCTTGCTCCATTCACTCAATGTCTAGTTATGTCAAATGTTCAAATCGCCTTTTTCTTTTCAGTCTTCCCGTTATTTGATGGTCATAGTTTAAAAACCTAAGAAAAAGGCTGAATGTGAGATTAGTTAAAAAAGCTAGAAAGCTAAGTTTAATTCTGTTTACTTACAGTAGCTCTGATGTACATGTTTAATTTGTTTCTCTTTGATCTGATAAGTACATTTTCATTTAAAAATAAATAACACCTTGATTTGGAACTTGGTTTCTTTGATGTTTGTGATGTAAAAGTGTTAGCCGAAATACAAAGTTTGTATTGATAAGCGTAGACCTTTGGAGGTAAACATTTTACTCGGGAATTATAATTGGTAAAATCGAGTTAAAACCGGAGTGTTCTATTTGATTTCATAGGAGTAACAAATATTCATGCAATATATGTAATAAAGCATGTTTATTGCGTTAAACAGATTAAACATTACATTATAAAATATTTATAATAAGATATAATGTTCGTATGATATATGTGTTTTTATATTACGTTAAACAGATTACGCACTACCTTTAAAAATATAAATAGCGTAGGTAAAATGTATCAATTTCACTTAATCGACTGTGAGTGGTCAGGGAACACACTACTCCTTGATTTTATTCCTATAAAGTGTCGGTGTCCTACTGATTAGATGATCAATACCCTAATCGATTGTTAGTATCACGTGTCACAAGTCCAGTGTAGTACCAGTATGTGATTGTCCTACATCATTACGTCATACCTAGCTAGAGAATGTTGGGGATGGTCTCTCATTGAATGATAGAATGATCTGAGGGTATATTTGCCGATAAACTGTCAAGTACATTGACTGCACATGGATCTGATTTACGTAAATAAAGACTCGTGAAGGCTTACGAGGTGTGTGGAATACGTTAATGCTAAAAGGTTGTGTCGGAAGGTTTTGACTTTTTTAATTTTTTAAAAACTTGTGAATGAAACAAAGTATGTCCATACGTCATGTGTGCAATTAACCCACTCATTATTTTGGTAATAGTGTTTTATTGATTAGCAACCCTATATAAAACGATACAAGCGCTGTACTTCTCGTGGTTACAAATGCCAGTGAGTTAGGACCTATCAGGATCTGTACAATCATAATCGGTTCACTGATAAATCACTACAGAAACAGGTTAAAGGGGTCAGAAATAGAAGTGATGGTATAAAAACGCAAGCACGAAATAGTTGTCGGTATGACATATGGAAAGACCCAATGGAAATTACTTAAATGTTAAAGACATCACGTGATCAATCCAGTTATCCCTTCAATAATGATACGAATTTCAATTATGTTGTATATGAAAAGGCATGTCTTCTTAACTATTATATTTGCCCCATTTCTGATACTATCAATGAAAACATCTTAATACCCCTGATGTATAATATAAAACAATGTTTTCCTAATACCCATAATGTATGATATAAAACGTTTTCCTTATACCCCTAATGTATAATATAAAACAACGTTTTCCTAATACCCCTAATATAGAATATAAAACAACGTTTTCCTTATACCCCTAATAAAGAATATAAAACAACGTTTTCCTTATACCCCTAATGTATAATATAAAACAATGTTTTCCTAATAACCCTAATGTATAATATAAAACAACGTTTTCCTTATACCCCTAATGTATGATATAAAACAACGTTTTCCTTATACCCCTAATGTAGAATATAAAACAACGTTTTCCTTATACCCCTAATGTATAATATAAAACAACGTTTTCCTTATAACCCTAATATAGAATATAAAACACATTAACCCTTCAAGTCTATACAGCTGTTTTTGTGACGGAAATGTTGATGTTCTTGAAAGGTCCTGTTGCAGCCCTATAAGGATTTACTTTGGCACACAATGATTCTTCAGGAAATATGATTTATCTATCAAGTATGAATAATTCCTCTTATCTTGACATGTATTATAAGCCGGAAACTAAGGAAAGTCCCTGTTATAGATAGCATTAGTCACCATATGCTTACAAATACTTCAAATACAGTCTGTAAACCTATAGCACTGTTAGAGTAAGTCTTTATTTCAATACGTTTATCGAGTTTTGGAGAGAAAACAGATTGTTATAAGAAAGATAGTAAAACGCTTGCCATCAAATTAAATACCATTTTCTTTGCTTTCTGATTCGGCAATTTTGAACGAGTAACTGCCATAGATATAAACCTTTTTTGGAATATAATTGTTTTCCAAAAACAATCTGGATTTTTATCTCCACACTATCTGTCCACTCATTGACCGATATATCATTATTGTTGTCTCATTATGGAACAAAAGAAACATAGGTGCATGCTTTGTTTTGTGATAATCAAAGCATTTGATAGAATATGGCATTATGGTTGTAGAAACGACAAAGAACTGCCGATTTGGAGCTATAGTTAAAAAGTCATAAAACTTTCGATTGTCACACGTGGTTTTTGAGGAACCAATCAGAGATGTTATATAGCCTTTAATCGTTTCTACAATAGCATGAAGATTATAACCATATTTTCCGTTTTTCTCATTCATGATTTGAACCTATGATCAAATTCTAAATAAATTGTTACCCCCATCAAAATGCCAGTTTCACAGACAGCATGCAATAGTGATGCATATTTGGAGGCCAATACCACAAGAGCTCGAATCTAGCACATTCGTCCCCTTAATCAGTATATTATTTTGTCTTGCTCTCAAATCGGAGATTGTTAGTTTTTCTTTCATTATTTTATTTAGGGCAATCAATTCATGCAGGTGCGTACCAATACATATCACATAGTAGGTTAAATGTAACTAACCAATTAATAATAAATTATACATTTTTTTAACAAGTTTTTACTTGCTGGCTCGTACAGTTTTGTTAGAATTTCACACTTCAACATAAGTTTGAGAAAGCATAGAAACCTTTATTAAATGACATCTACCGTATGTAGTACCTTTGACATCTAGTTCTAGCCTCATTTAAAGTTATAGATTAGGTTTTTAACACTTAAGATGTTTTACCATACAGTAGTAAATTTTAAACTATCTACTGTCACCGAATATAACTTATATAATTAAAGATAAAAGCTTTACCTTCTGTGATTTAAACCTCCCACGTGTACACACAAACACACCACGTCGTGTTGCTACCTCAATTCCAAGTCAATATTCCCGTGTAAAATCCTCCCTGGTTCCCCAACACAAGTGGTACGCCCAGCCTCACTAGAACCACAAGTACACAGGGCTACTGAAGACACAGGGTTTCTGTAGACGGATCTAACACTGATGTTTATAAGACGGTATATCTGTATTACCTACCTCCACGAAAGTGTAAGTGGAACTACATGGAATTGTTTACTTACAGAAGTATGCAGGGTAGATTGTATTTAATCCACAATAGAATTAAAGCCACTATTGTGTGTGAAGTGTCCAAGGACTGGTTAAATCAGAACGGGCTCAAAAGCCACACCATGGTAGTCGTGTGGCAGAACTCGGTGGTGGACAAGCAGCCTTGAAAGAAAAGGAAATACAATCAATTAATATAGTTTTAATCACAGGACAGCCTCATGTGTATTGACCTATATTAGGTGGTACGGTATATCAATAGCAGACTATCTTAACACCCTTACGTCAGACCACCCGAATATGTTTTGTTATAGACAGGGTATTTAGCGAATGTCCGAAAATGTGTCTGGTATACATACTGTATAGCGGTTACATTTCGCGGGGGTTTTAGTTTCGCTATATTCGCGCTTTGACAAATAACCGCGAATTCTTAACACCAGCGAATTATCGAAAATGTTAACCACTTTTACGGACCTTATCACAATATGTTGAAAATACTTATTACCCCATGCTGTTATGCAAACTTAATTATCACCGGAAAACTGGGCAGTCCATGTAAAACAACACTTGCATATAAGTGGCCACAACATTTTTATGATCAGTGTTTTCTAACGGTTTACCTGTATTTCGGGGTTTAACCCCTAAATGATGACACTCACGGTATTTTGCACGACACATGGGATTTCGGTGCACTGCGAAATTTAATCCCCGTGAATATGTACTGAATATGAAACCGCAAAATATTGACCTCGCGAATTTAAAGCGCTATACAGTACACTATTCTTGCACTATTCCTGCACTAAACATGTGCGCGAGCTGGTATTACAAACGTAGTTCTATTATGACCAAATTTTTCCTTCCAAACTTTTGGTACCATTAGTGAGTGTGAACGTAAATATTGACTGTCCATTTTATGTATTAATAGGGAATGAGTTGGTTAACATTTGATAACTGAAAGCAGCACATCGTGTAACGCTCGGGTTGGAATTCGTTACTTAAGGCTTATAATCCTTACCTACAGTGGCTATAGTCGACAAAGAGCAACCATCTATTGAAGAAAGTTACCTAACACTATTACTTTTTCGTAAAGTTTAAATGTCTCCTGTTTTTAAACTAGATCCTGACTAATACGTAGTATCAATGGCTTAATTTCGTCCGCCATTGTGGCAGATAAACAACCATGTCATTTCGCAATGAGAAATATTGTATAATGCCCCAATAGGTGTTTGGAGTGTTTCCGGCATTGGGCGCTGATAGAGCATAGGCGATTTAACCATTATGCTAACACAAGACATTTAAGAATCCCTGACATCGTCGCCAAAGTTTCGCACCAATATGAGATTTAATGCAACACAGTAAACTACACTTTTAACAACCAATAATACATGGCCGATTAAGGTAGTATTGAGGGTTAATATGACATTCAAAATAACATTAACAACATGTATTCATGGGGTGGTGATTACGTGGAAAATTCTGAATTTATTTTATTACGGTAGGAAATCGTATTGTCAACTGTAAAATAATTGAATAAATTTTCATCACTGAGTTTGCAATGCGCTCATGTTTTGTGCTATATATACCTCATCCAATAAAAAAAAATTAACAAATGGTTTCTAAAAATTGTTTATAAAAGATGCTATTTTCTGTTATGAATCACCATAAATAGAGGAGAGAAAACGATAGACCTTCTTAATCTAATCGTGCATGACTCATTTTAACTGTATTGGGAAAACATTGGTTTAATTAAGATTAAAGATAAATACATATGGTACCAATTGACATTCTCTGACATTAGGGGCGTATTTAAATTAATAAATTAAAAAACAAATCGAGGGCATAATCGTCATTGTTGATGGAGCCGCCGCACCCTAAAGAAGGAGAACAGTGTTAAAAGTGAAATTACGTATAAAGAGACTTCCCAAATTAATGATGGTAATTATGCTTATATTTATTTTATCGAAAACTTATATGGCATTATTGAAGTCTATATATCCATACAAAACATTAGTATTCGCTGATCGGTTATATTTGTATCAGGTCTAATTTTGTAGAAGTAAAATCTGCTCGGCAAAAATGACCGTAGGTGTTGTATATTCCGGCCGGTGTAATGTCCAGTTTGTGGTGGTTAAGTGTTTGCGACACTACACAAATCTCAGTAATTGGATAGCTTTATTGTGTACATGTGAAATCTTCAACACTTAATGTAGACCTCATCATACATAGCTAGTTGTCACGCAAACTGGACCCGCAGGTGGAATACCGTTATTGTTGACTGACACCACCACCAACAACAGTTGTTCGTGAACACGGGCCATACTCAATATTGTTGCTACTGACTTTCATTCGCCTTTCAGTAATACAGAGGCAATTTTGCATAAGAAACAGAACAATCTAAATTGATTATGAAGTTATCCTTTAGATCGTTCTGGTTGTTTCAATAAAACAAATAGTTTGATTGGAAGTTCCAAGAACATTAATCTAAGGGAACTGGAGGGTTCTGAAGACTTCAAAATCCCAAGTTTTATTTTTTTCTATTCTATCACGTCAAGTGTGCTCTCCTTTTCTTTTCTTTTTATTAGTCCGATCATCCAAACACTAGATAATTTCTGTCAAAATCTCTCATTCCGACAATAATTAATAGGCTTTTAAACATTTGTTTATGTTATTTGAAATCAAGCTGCAATACTTGTCATATCGTTCAGCGATGGTGCTTATATCGTGTGAGAGCAATATTGGTCATGTACGAAAACTATATACAGGTATCCAAGATTAGTCAATTGGTCATAAAGGTATATTTCGATTGAGATAAACTAATAACATTTTCTGTCTTAAAAAAGCAACAAAAGCAAATACTTTCAACTTGAGAATGTTAAATGTCCCTTGCTCAATGTTACACCACACATTAAAGTTGGTAACGATATTTGATAGGCATTTTTCTGCTATAGACGTGTGCATCGTTGTGAGAAAAATATTTGCTGCAACCGTTTGTTAACCGGACTATAAGGCAGTGTAATTGAGATAGTTCAGTATTTATTGTGATGTTCCTTTCCGCACGATATGAATGCCCGTTTCGCCATGGAAGGCCTTGGCCGCGATGTGACCATGCAACTTCTCTGTATTAACTGGAAATAATCAGACATTCTTAAGGAAATGGATTGAAATGTCAACTACATTTTATAGTTAACAGGGGGGTTTCATAGTATGTTTATTGCTCACCCAAACTGCAGCACTCGGAACATCTCTTTTTCTTTTATCTTCCACTTACTCTTTCTGCTCTCTTCATGTAACTTTATCTGTTGCAACGTGAAACCCCGATAAAGGAGTGAATGAATGATTTAATAAATAAGTAAATTAGTCAATTAATTAAATAATCGTAATGTTAGCGCTGGTACGTCGTAAACAACCTTCAACATTGCCTACGTTTTGTTGGTAAGTGGTAAAATTTAGAAAGAAGACAAATGTGACCCGCAATATCTGAATACATGTATCAAGGAGTTAAATAAAAAACACTCGATCCCCGTACACCTTGGTCTTTTATAGGTTGTTGTACATTTTCCGTTGTGTGTTAACAGGCCATTGCAAGGACGTGACATCCCGTACCGGATGTCTAATGTAAACATATAGTCCAAGTATTGTGGTTATCGCTACCTTAGACTTCTTGCTTTTAACTAAATGGCACATTCGGCAAAGCTTTTAGAAACTTAACGGAATCGATTTTCTTAATTATAATGCCAATTAGTTGGTTTGAACCAAACGCAAATATTTATTAAGAGAAACGTTGCACCTTTTAGTGAGGTTGAGGTTTTGACGGGTATGGAATAATAATAACTACCTGCCCTTTGTACCACGAAGAGTGTGTCAACATTAATTTACCTGGACTAATTAGCACCTGACCTCCCGGTGCCAGGCTGTCCTATTGTATACTCTCATGAAGGCGTTTCGGTCAATCGTAACATTGTCAAAGATTTTGTATTATCTTCAAATCCTCGACATGACACATGAAATAGTTCAAGTTGAAAATTAAATTAAATGTACAGTATATGGAAAAAGAACGTTTTTATAATCTTTATTATGACAAAAAATACTAGATAAACTGTGTATTAAAAGTGGACATTGAAATACCCAACAATTAGGCAAAACAAATTTATTTTGGATGTGATTTAAAAGAAGAAGCACTTTTGAGTGGATGAAAATAGTAGAGATGAGTAAGAATTGTGTGGATGAGAAAGTTAGGAAGAGTATTTTGGTAATGAGAATTTTGATGAGAATTTTGTTGATGAGAATTTTGGGGATGAGAATTTCGGTGATGAGAATTTCGGTGATGAGAATTGCATTTTTGTTTGTGATTTCACTTAAAATCTGGTAATTGTGCCAAGATGTTCAGCACCTTTATTTACAATGTGTTTCCATTCCATATTAAGATTCGCGTATATGTGTAGCGGTGTAGCGTGAGTAACCCGTGTAACAGGATTAGAGGGGCGATTATGTTCTAAGTTAATAGTGCGTTTATATTAAGTATCCAATCGTATCTGAGCTTTTTTATTATACACACATATATACAACTTGTCAATTCAACGTGTCAAACCTTACCTATGGTTTTTAATTACACATTGTAATTAGCTTTGCTCTATTAAGAGTTGTTCTTGTTAATATATTGTGTTCTTCTTGATGTCAATTTCTGGACAAAATGACCGCTGAATACAGCTGGAGATAACGTTTCAGGCCAGAGTTTTGTGACCGCTGGCCGCATTAGACAAGTGGCTGCTAATTTCAGGTTCATTATATAGTTTTTTTCTATCGGGCGGACCGCAGTCTGACCACATAAGGGAGGTGGCTGCTTATTTCAGGAGACCGCTCAAGCAGATTTGACTGTATAACACGACATTCTGCTCCAAAAACAGATATCAACATCACTAAAACGTGAAATGATCTCCGTCTGTATTACATGACGGTGGTCTACCTCCCAGAGAATAAAAGTCTCACCGCTAATAAAGCAAGCTTGAGTTTTCGATGACATTTAAGATTCAAGTTACAAGTTATTTGATTTAAACATCAATATTTGTATATCAGAAAGGCTCTGTGTAACGTATACAAACAAGAGAAATATGACGCTCCATGTCGCCTATCACGAGTAAATCGTATACTTAGTACCTGGGAATACAAGAACAATTAACACGATACGGAACATGTATAGTAAATTAAAAACACTTCACCTAATTAATCATTACACCTTATACCCAAACACCTGTGAGTTTGACAGGAGAAGGAATTATTACAAAGTCTTACTTACGTTTGGTCACAATGTCGATCTGTCGTCCTGGTCTTCTTCATTTGACGGAAATGTTGAAATTAAAATAAATATCCTCTGCTTATACCAGTAAACGTAGCTAAGTGTGTGACAGTATAAAGTTCACATAACACCCAACCGGACTTTTAAAAATAAGTACGATACGATTTCTCCTCGAATAGACACTGGTATCTTTTAAAAGGGATTTCGATCTCACTTTAAACAGACATGATGTTGTGAGGGTTAAATCGATCTTGAGACTTGTGTAACGGACGTCTGTAATGTAAAGATCACTGTTTTATATCCGACCGCTCCGCCGTCATTACTCCCCACTTAAAACGTATAAATGACAGTTTTGCTCAAAAGACCCAAGGTCTCGGATAGTTTACTTTTAAAAAGCTTGTTGTTATCAAACGAAAAAATCAGAACAATTTAAATTCCATCTCTTTCTGTAGATTGCATGCATCAATCAGTTATATTGGACAAGTATACGTGATCTCTGAGTCTTTAACAGTTCACGCTAGTCTGACAACAGTTACTACTCTATTAAAACTGATCAGCTTGACCTCTTGGTGTCAGTCAAAACAAATCTGTTTCTTTTTACCAGTAGAAATTACAAACCTCAATTTGTTTACAACAATCTCTCAATTATTGTTCAGCGGAAACCTGTGCGATCAAGTGATACATTTGATTGCGCAATTTTCTTCCATTTAGCGTTCCCTATCCCGCAGTTGTAAGGACTGCATACTTTTAGATCGGACTGCGCTTATCTTTTTACATTGGTTAAAAGTAACCGTGGTTAAAACCTTAAATTCGTATGACTAAGTACTGGTACTCATTTTGCTACATGTAGCTATATAGACTGTAGCATGAGGTGTACGGTACTCACTGTGTTAGCTAGGTAGACTGGATCATGAGTAGTACGATACCCATTGTGTTATCTAAGTAGACTGTAGCGTGAGGTGTACGGTACTCACTGTGTTAGCTAAGTAGACTAGAGCATGGGTCGTCCGATACCCATTGTGTTATCTAGATAGACTGTAGCGTCGTACGGAACTTACTGTGTTAGCTAGGTGGAGTGTAGCATTAGTCGTACGGTACTCACTGTGTCATCTATAGTACCGTCATTGTGTTAGCTTTGGTAGACTGTAGGTCAGGATATATCGTCTGTTCGTCTGCTCTTCTCTGTATTGTAGTAAAACACGCTGTTTGTGTAAGACTGTACATCATCTGGTACGATTGCTGTACACTTCGTCATATGCCGCCAAATTTGTTGTATAAAAGTACATATGATGACGTAATGAACGTTCTCACACCCGCCGAATCGTTAGATATATCGTCTGCACCTGACAAATTACATTTTGATGGGTTTCATTTTCATCGACAGACTTCGAATCTGAGAGAAAATGTTATTTTATACAAATCAAATTAGATAATACCAGTAGATGTAGAACTTTAATGAATCAATTCGATGCCAATGTCGTGTATTTATTTGCACGAGAGCGTTTACTTCGTTGAGTTGACAAGAACGGTTAGATTACCGTATCATTATTTCTACATTTGCGGTTTTGTTATCCTCACACTTCTAGAATCCGTACCTGTGATTTAAGGTAGTAATGTATCGCGGGAATGTCTGACCACAGGGACCTGACAATAAGGACTTGTACCGTTTATTTTGTATCTAATAGAAAACACACCCTAAGCACAGGGACCTGACAATAATGATCTGTACCGGTTATTTGTGCTTTATAGAGTGCACACCACAAACTGGTGTCTGACCACAGGGGCCTGATAACAAGGACCTGTATCGTTTAGGATGCGTTACAGAATATACCCCTCGGGCTGATACAGGGAACTGACAACACTCAGCAACTTGTATTGTTTGTCGTACATTTATTGTCCTTGTGCCATTGTTTTCGTCTGCTTCAGTCATTCGGAACCTTTTGCTCATTTCTGTAGAAAGGCCCCGAATAATGCAAGTAAGACCGGGAAACTCGTGCCGTGTTGGGAAACCGAAGTTTTATTCCCCTATCATGTGGTCAGGGCACACTTTAATCAAATAAGATACATTACTATATATATGAAGTTTACTCATACAATTTTGATACACAACATTCCAAACCTCGTCATAAAAATATCTATCTACGGCTTTTTCCTTGCAGTGACTTAAAGAATTACATTGAATAGAAACGAAACATCAGACTTCATATGATTTTCATTGAAACACATATTTTACAAAAACAAGTTTACGAAACATCAGATCAACAAATGTATATACCAGTCGAGGTGACATTTTATGAAATTTAGAATTATGTCAAAAATGGCTGAAATATGGTATATTACCTGTTTTAGTACTATGAAGTAATACGGTTTGATATTCAACGTGTTTTTTTCGTGAATTGTGTGTTTCGTATAAATTATGGCATGTCATATTCTTCTCTTTGGCGGTAGCGCAATACAATCCTGTCGCCTGTGGTTGTAACGTTATTAGACAATACCCCAACAAAAGTGTACTCTATTTTACGATTCAATTCAAATTTAAGCTAACCGGTCCAAACCTAACACGTTCCCGACCAATATTGACTCCAGTGAGGCGATACAGTGACACTTTACACGTATTTGATTACTATTCAGGTGAGTGCGTTTATTTTCGTCAAATACCTAAAGAAAACATTTAAATGTGTATATGTTTCTGCTTTAACGTGATTGGTGCCAACAAAATAAGCATTACGTCAGAGAAAACACCCCATGGTCGAATTTCCTCGTTAACACCGAAGTTAGTCAGACATAAACAGGTGTGTCCTCCGGACATTAGGAAGATATTTCTGTTGTGTGCCAATAAAACTTCAAGTATGAAGAATACGATCAAACGCTTACCTGTAATTACGATGTTTTCCAAAACGTACATGCTTCTAGATTTTGTATTTGGCATTAGAAACAGTCAAGACTGTATACACAACATAATTGTAGATTAACTCATCAATACACAACAAGTTTGCTGCTCATTGAGGACAGAGATTCACTCATTATACCCAACAAATTCACAGGACATTGATAACAAATATTCACTCATCCATACCCAAGATTCACTCATCCATGCTCATCTATATCTACCGGATATATACATGTTGTTTGATCTTCCAGTAGCAATAATCTTAAATTTCAATAGTCCTTCACAAAATATGTAAAAAGAAATACCATCCTAGTTGTGAATTGCGTATATAGTTGACAGGGCGTGGTTGTTGATTGTCAATATGATGAATCACACTGAAGAACGTCGTTATGTAATGCACTTCTTAATATTCTTATAAAGTTGAGTTTCGTATTTCACATGAAATTTTACGTAATGCACGCTTCAACGGATTTCATATTGTGCTTTTATAAAAAAAAAAAAATCAATTTAAAATTATCTGATAATCGATACTCTTAATTTCTGTCTGACTGTCCTTATAGGCTAATAAAGATTTTGTTTATATCCTGGTATAGCTAATTCACTAACAATGATTATATATACTCCCTACAACGATGGCCAATTTCACATTTACCTTTGCGCTACACTCCCTACAACGAAAGGCCTATTTCACATTTACATGGACGCTACACTTCCTTCAACAAAAGGCCTACTTCACATTTACATGGGCGCTACACTCCCTACAACGAAAGGCATATTTCACATTTACCGCGGTGCTACACTCCCTACAACGAAAGGCCTATTTCACATTTACATGGACGCTACACTTCCTTCTACAAAAGGCCTAATTCACAATTACGTGGGCGCTACACTTCCTACAACGAAAGGCCTATTTCACATGTACATGGACGCTACACTCCTTACAACGAAAGGCCTATTTCACATTTACCTAGGCGCTACACGCCCTACAATGAGGCCTATTTCACATTTACATGGACGCTTCACTTCCTTCTACAAAAGGCCTATTTCACATTTACATGGGCGCTACACTTCCTACAACAAAAGGCCGATTTCACATTTTAATGGACGCTACACTTCCTTCTACAAAAGGCCTAATTCACATTTACATGGGCGCTACACTCCCTACAACAAAAGGCCTATTTCACATATACCGCGGCGCTACACTCCCTACAACGAAAGGCCTATTTCACATTTACATTGACGCTACACTTCCTTCTACAAAAGGCCATATTCACAATTACGTGGGCGCTACACTTCCTACAACGAAAGGCCGATTTCACATTGAAATGGACGCTACACTTCCTACAACGAAAGGCCTATTTCACATTTACCGCGGCGCTACACTCCCTACAACGAAAGGCCTATTTCACATTTACATGGACGCTACACTTCCTTCTACAAAAGGCCTAATTCACATTTACATGGGCGCTACACTTCCTACAACGAAAGGCCTATTTCACATTTACCGCGGCGCTACACTCCCTACAACGAAAGGCCTATTTCACATTTACATGGACGCTACACTTCCTTCTACAAAAGGCCTAATTCACATTTACATGGGCGCTACACTTCCTACAACGAAAGGCCTATTTCACATTTACCGCGGCGCTACACTCCCTACAACGAAAGGCCTATTTCACATTTACATGGACGCTACACTTCCTTCTACAAAAGGCCTAATTCACATTTACATGGGCGCTACACTTCCTACAACGAAAGGCCTATTTCACATTTACCGCGGCGCTACACTCCCTACAACGAAAGGCCTATTTCACATTTACATGGACGCTACACTTCCTTCTACAAAAGGCCTAATTCACAATTACGTGGGCGCTACACTTCCTACAACGAAAGGCCTATTTCACATGTACATTGACGCTACACTCCTTACAACGAAAGGCCTATTTCACATTTACCTAGGCGCTACACGCCCTACAATGAAAGGCCCTTATCACATTTACATGGACGCTACACGCCCTACAACGAAAGGCCTTTTTCACATTTTCCTAGGCCCTACACGCCCTACAACGAAAGGCGCTTTTCACATATACATGGACGCAACACTTCATACAACGAAAGGCCTATTTCATATTTACATGGACGCTACACTTCATACAACGAAAGGCATATTTTACATTTACATGGACGCTGCACTTCATACAACGAAAGGCATATTTTAAATTTACATGGACGCTACACTTCATACAACGAAAGGCTTATTTCATATTTACATGGACGCTACACTCCCTTCAACGAAAGG